CTTCAGCTCCCTGAAGGGAGATAGAATGCTTCAGTACAACAGATAGGGCTCAGTTCAGGCGTTTGGGGGGGCGGGGGGAAAGACTCTAAGCCTTTGGTCTCTTGGTGAACTTGGAAAGTAGACCTATCAGAGGTATTCATGTTCAGACAGCTGGGCTGTAGCTGAGAAGGCTGCCAAATAATGCTGTTACTCAAGGTTGTGGGAATTTCGTCAAGCGGCCTTAAAACAATCGCGTTCCACGCAGCTGGGGAATGGTGGGCCCAGGGGTGCCTCTGCCATGCCTGCTGCTCTGAGGAGAGAATAAGGTCACGTCGCTGGGCCAGGCCGCTGCATATGATGGAGCCAGCGACTCACCGCTCGCCAGGGACCGGCCCTGGCCAGGAGTCGGAGCCAGAGACACTCCGGTGTTCTGCCAATTAGATCTTAAACAAAAAGATCTTAAAACAGGAAACTACCTCACAAGGTGGCCGGTGTAGCTCATCATTCAGCCTGTCCCCTTTGCAGTGTTTATAACTGGGGAACCTCACCGCACTGAGGGTCCTCCCCAGAGTGACCCCACGTGCTCTGAGCCCCCACACCAGTCCCAGTGCTGGTCGGCGGTATCAAAATTAGACTGTCACTGGTCAGGAAGACTTGGCTTGAGGGGTGGAGGACCTGGTCAGGGGTTTGTTTCTTCTCCCTGTTACTGCTCTTTGCCAGGTTCCTCCCGGGGTTTCTTAACGGGTTCCACTTGTTTGGGTTACAGCCTCAGGGCTGTGGCTCCTGAACCTCCTTCCGAGGCAGGATCCAAGCATGGAGCTCTGGAAACCGTGGAGAAAAGAATTTGCGTCTGTAGATGTGCTGCTTTCCTGGTTCTTTTTCTCAGAATCCCTTTCCTCTTAAAACAGCCAGAGGCAAAAAAAATTGAGAGATGCACAAAGCCTTCCAAAATGCAAGATTAATCATGTGCAGGAAACCCTCCCTGGTAGGGAGGCACGGGCTGCATTCAAGTCGAGGCGGAGCTGAAGCTGGCTCCGGCCTAGCCCAGGAGGCGGCCCCCTTGCTGGTGGGGGTGAGGGGCCCATCCCCGCGGGCAGTGGGTATAGTGGCAGGAACCCAGGCACAGCCCTGAGCCTAGGGCTTCCATGAATTTGCCCTTGCTATCATTTGCAAAGCCGAGGATCACTTACTAGGAAGGAAACTTAATCAGGAAATCACCTTTGGTGGCGTGTGCCCTGCCCCAATTCCTCGGCACTCACCACCCTCTCTCCTGCCCTCCCACAGATGTGCCCTGGAGAGCAGGTGGGAACTGATCCATCTTGTTGAGTTGCTGGCAGTTGGCACCTCTCCTCTCCCACTGCAGCAGCAGCCCTCTCTCAGCCAGGAAAGCCCTTTATGATTGCCGTTTCTAACACTGGACTGAGGACGAAGGGGGGTTGGTATTACTGAATACTTGGCAAGGGGCGAGTTCGTGCTCTGGGTTCCTACTTTTGTGCGCAGCGGGAGTGCGTCCTCCATCTTTCTGGGCTGTTGTCAACTTCCCCAGCCCTCTGCCTGGGGCGGAGCGGGGAACACAGCTCATAAAAGGTGTGTCTCTGAGGTGCTCCCTCTTGTGTGTCCCTTGACCGAAGCCGTTGCGGTGGTAACTATCCAACTGGAAAACATGCAGGAGTAAACGGAAGATAAAGCTCTTGCGCAACCAGCCAAGATGGGACTCTCTGCCCCTCTTTGTTACCCCACTTGACGCAGCTCCCTCCCTCCCCACAGGGCTGAGGGTCCTCTCTTTGAAGATAGGGAGTGGGAGGGCCAGTTATCTTGGTCTTCGCAGATCACAAGTGAGCTGGGGTTTTGCAGAAAGGAAGGAGTCCTGGATTTTCTAGCTCCTTGGTGAAGAAGTCAGAGGAGTGACAGGAAGGACACCCCAGCCCAGCTCTTTCTGAGGAGTTAGAACACTCCTCACCCCACTCCACACACCTCTCCAGCCCCTCCGTGTCCACCTTGTTATTACTCCCAGGTGGATCCAGTCTGGCTTCCCTGAGTCCAGGCTGAATTAGCAGTAAGTGAGCACAGTCCTTGAAATTTCCCATGTGGAGAAACTCAGGCTATTTGCGATTGCAGACACAATGTGAGAGTGGCGGCGAAGGGGGAGCTAGTGGTAGTCCAGGGGAGTTCTTGGAGACCTGATCGTCCTGTTTCTCAGCTGTGGGTGCTCCTTAGAGCTCAGTGCACTGCTTTACTTGCTTGTGTTACATACTGCCTGTCCCTCACCCAAATCAGGGGCCCAAACACACTTGGAGTTCTGGTGACCCCTCTCCACCCTCCAGGTCTTTGCATTCATCATCTGCACCTTCCCCGCACAAAAAATAAAGTAGTGATGCCAAAAATAAAAAGACCACTTGCCTCTTCCCCTCCAGCCTCCACCAGCGGCCACTGTGCCTTCTCTTGGGGAGAACCTGCACCAATATTCTGGGCAGGAAGAGAAAACAGGCCACTTCCACTTTCCCGAGAAACCATAATTTCAAACGATCTTCTTGCCAAATGGATGGGCTTAGGACACTATTGTGGGTTTCTCTCTGTCTCTCTCTCTCCTTCTCTTTCTCTCTCTCTTTTTAAATGAGGGCCAGGTAAAGCATTCTTAGCACATTATGGGGAGAAGGTTGTAATCCCCCAGCCTCCTCCTGTGTATTCTGGCTTTGTAGATACTGATGGCCTCGCGTTTCCTGTGGCCTCAAAGTGGAGGAAGGCTGGGGAGGTGAGGGGGTGGTGGAGGCCAGGAAGCCAGCCAAGTGGGCTACAGCTCAGTGGTACCAGCTGCCCTCTCCAGCCTTCCTGCCCCTTGGGCTGGCTGTGGCTGGCTCTCCTTCCTGTGCCCTTACTCCTAGGGTCAGGCTCCTGTTGCGTCAGGCTCCGGCCTCACTTCCTCACAGGCAGTGAGTTGGACAACAGCGTTGCAGATGTGCTGCCTCCTGCGTGAACGTGGGAGAATGGAGGCCAAGCTGGGCTCATTTCTGTACATGGGCATCAGGTCACTTAGGTATCCCAAGCACGCTTTCTTGCTTGGCCGTGACAGGGTCATCTCCTCTGGGCTTCGGGACACACAGTCACCATCAATTATAGGGAAGCTTCCATGAAATTGACAGGTGGGCCTGTACTCAGGCTCTATGGGGAACAGCCCTGTGGAGACTAATGGATGAGGGTGGGAAGTGTACTGATTATCTCCCCTTCTTCCCCGGGCCTCACTCTAGTGACTTGCTCATGTGACGTTCAGGGCGAGGGACCCCTATGGCCTGGGAGCATCAAGCAGGCAGGGGCCTCAGTTGCCTCTGGTGTCCAAGTATCATCAGTGCAGTGATTGATTATTGAGTAAATGAATTCCTGCCTTGGATTTAGGCATTGAATCCATGTGATCCAGGTGTGAGTATCCAAGCAGCTTTTCAGCTTGACACACAGACTAGTTTTTGCATTGGGTTCAGCTGTTAGTACCCCTTAACAACAGAAACCATGTAATATTGTAAATTTTAAATACCTGGTTTTAATGTAGCTAGAATTTTTTCCCTAGTTATTTTATAATGATTCTGAGTTTTCGCTTTGCTGGAGACATCTAGTGTTTGCAACATAACTTCGAATATTAGAAATCCTTTAGTACCAGGAAGAGGTCAGACTTGAGTTGAGCCTAGAAGGGAGTGCTAGGTGGATATGACAGGCAGGGCTGTGGCGTGGACAGAATTGCAGAAGTGAGGGTGTAAGATACATTTTGGGACAGTCTGCATTTCTCATTAAGAAAATGGGGCAAAAGTGATGAGGTTGACACTTACAAAGAGAACTGGGCCACCAAGGAGAAAAAAATCTCTTGCCAAAGGGTACTTCCTAATTTTCCCCATCTTTGGTGCTGTGGCAGAACCTGTCTTCTTGTCTGGCAAACCCTGCCCCAAAGGACTGGTCAGTAAACTCTAACTTAGCACCAACTCTAAGTCAGGCTCATATCCTTCTAGGTTTTTTATTATTTTGTGGAAAAAGTCAAATACACAGAAAGCTGAGAGAGGAACTCTCTGACGTCTTGCTCCCTTACATCACTCCTGGATTTAACAAGTGTTAGTATTTCACCACATTTGTTTTCCTCTGTAGACTTTTTCAGGATTATCTGAGTAAATTGCAGACACCAAAGCCCTTCACCCCTAAATACTTCAGCATGTATCTCCTAAGGACAAGATGTTCCCTTCAGAGTGGTAATACCATTATCACACCCAAGAAAACCAATAATTCCTTTGTGTCTAATATCTGGTCTACATTCAGATCTCCTCAGTTGTCTCCAGAATGACTTTTATAGCTTTTTTTGCAATCAGGATCCCATCAAGGATTGACACTATATGTAATTGGCTGTTGTGGCTGTGTAGCCTCTTTTAATCTACTACACTCCACCTTTTTTGTTTTATGTTTTTATGACGTTGACTTTGTAAAGGGTCCAGTCATATCCTTCTAGTTTTGAATCTGAGTGTACAGGCGTTCAACATTGGTTCCATTAACAGAAATTTACTGAGTAATATGCCACCACCCCCTGAAGTCCTGTAAACCCATGTATGACCCGTTGCTCAAGATGCACAGTTCAGTCTCGGCCACACTGCTGGCTCCACGGGGTTGTTGCTGGTGACGTCTGGAGCGCTGACTGTGGGCAGCCCTGTTCTGGGAAAGGGCTTCAAATCTCAGCTCTACCACTTCTCACTGAGGGCCTTCAGCTGGTGGTCCTTTCTCCTCTCTAAGCTTCGGGGTCTTCATGTCCACAACAAAGGGGTTGGACCAGGGGTCTTCCTAGTCTCACTCAGCTTTGCCTCTCAACACCTCTGTGACTTGGCTCCAGGTGTTGCCAGGCAGACCGCCTGCAGCTTCGTAGCTCGGGGTAGCTGCTTCGGGAAGCCAATTGCCTGCTCCCATTCCTGGCACCAAGAACAGGGGATCTGGGAGGATGCACACGGTTCTCTGATGCTTTAACGTGACCACATGCCCTTCCCCTCTGCTCCCCACAGCGGAGATTCTGGAGCTGGCTGGCAATGCAGCAAGAGACAACAAGAAGGGCCGGGTCACGCCCCGGCACATCCTGCTGGCCGTGGCCAACGATGAAGAGCTGAATCAGGTATGGGGCTCTCCTTTCCCTCCCCCACCCAGACACACCAGCAGGCAGTCTTGCTGCCCAAGAGTTGTCTGTCCAGGGGGAGGGTGCTGTTTGGCTGGCTATCAAGGGTGTGGACTGCATTTTGGACTATTAGCAGCTTCCCCGTCCCCCCCCCGCCCCACCGCATGGCAGTTTTTCCCCAAGATTTTATTGGTTTGGGGGAGGGGAATGAAACAAGGTATTTGGCTCTCCTTGGAAGAAAGATGGTTCTTTCTTCCACCCGAGTGGAAACTCCACCCGAGTGAGGGACTCCGAAGACTTGCTCCCTGTGTTGTGAGCCAGGGTCCTGTCAGCCTCCTTGTAGATGCCATGGAGGAGGGAGCTCTACCAACCCAAAGCAAGAGCATGGGGTGGGGGCAGGGCTGACTTCTTGAAGGTCACGGACGTGCTGGTCTGACTCACCATTCACTACTTTGGTTTTCCTGCAAGCTGCTAAAAGGAGTCACCATCGCCAGCGGGGGAGTGTTACCAAACATCCATCCGGAGTTGCTAGCGAAGAAACGAGGATCCAAAGGGAAGTTGGAAGCCATCATCACACCACCCCCAGCCAAAAAGGCCAAGTCTCCGTCCCAGAAGAAGCCCGTGTCTAAGAAAGCAGGGGGCAAGAAAGGGGCCCGGAAATCCAAGGTGCGTAGGTGATTTGGCAGGGACGTGTGGAGGGTGGGGCTGGGCGGGTGCCGGCAGGCGGGGTCATGCGGGCTCCCCTTCCTACTGAGGGCTCATTCCCCTCTGGGGTGGGGGCCTGTGGAACAAATGGAGCTGGTGACAGAGGGCTAGTCCAGCTCAAGTGGCCAGAGTCTGGACGCAAGTTGGGGACTAGATTTCTGTGGGCAAGGGGGATGTGGGGAGGTGCTGGGGCAGATAGCCCCAGGCTGGAGGGACCTGGTGCCCACCCTTCCAGGAGATGCTCACGCCCATGGGGTGGGACATGTGTATACAGGAGCTTCCCTGTGGGAGCGACAGCAGTCGAGTCCTGCCCAGAGCTGCCAGCTGCCCGCTTGCCCTTGACGTGCCCAGAACTGTCATTGTGTTGCCATGGCTGCATGTCCTCCTCCGAGCCTGTTCCAGCAGGGATGGTTCAGATGGTTAGCTCTTTGAAATGACCACCTTGTTAAGGAGGAAAATAGATGCGTTATTTGGGCGCTTCCTGCCAGACCCAGCTGGGATTGAGACTAGGTCGTAGGTGCTGATCTTTCTGTGGGGAGCGAAACCTTCTCATGAGTGTGACCTCATGTCTTCTAGGATGGGGCAGGCCCACTAATCCCAAGCCAGGATCTTCCTGGTCCACCCTCGGGAGGTCCACACCCGTGGCTGGTTGCATTCACCTGTCTGAGACTCCAGGGTAACTGGGATACATGGTTTCTGTTTCTTCCTCGCTGGGCCCTGCCTCTCAGCTGTTGTCACAGACTCCAGGGCCAGCAGACTAGGAACAGCGCAGCTCTGTGTTTAATAAAATGGAATCTTAAGGCTGCTCCACCCTGCCCTGCCCTGGGGTGGGGAGTCACCCTTCTGGCCTCTAGCCAGACTAAGAGGAAATTATCTCTGGCAGAAGGTGGCCTCCCTATTTTGAAAGACCCCCAGTAATATCCCCTTGGAAATGCCCTGCAAGGCCTAATGCAGTGTCAGTGTCAGGACATTCTTACTAGAGCCCAAAGCCCTCACCAGAGTGAGCTGGTGAGGACACCTTCCCAGAACAGGTCCAGGAGCAGTGACCCGGAGCCACATGCCAGCCCGCCCTCCCAGCATGTCCCCTCCGCTGAGCCCATCCAGACATCAGGCAGGCCTTCACCACATGGGGGGCACCTTCTGTGACCTCTCACCTCCCACCCATACTGTTTGTGTTTGTGGACTCTCTTTAGTTGAGGTGTAAGAGGCTATATTTTTTGTACATCCTTCTGGGTGTGGACAAACACTTCCCTGAAAACGACAAAATCTAAATTCCTCTTGCCAACAGACACCCCCCACCCCACCCTACCCCACCAGGCTCAGAATCACTCCCAGCTCTTTGAGAGAGAAACCGGATACAGAAGAGTGTCCTGTAAGTTATTTCCAGACGCTGCACTCCACCTTGCTCACAAGCCCTGGAGGAGGCTCAGGGCAGGCTGGGGATTTCACAGAGTGCTCATTCCTGCTAACTATAAAATTAGCAGATTGAACTGTTTCTTTTTTCCCTTACAACATTTGCATTTGGGGGGAGTTGCTGGACAGGGAAGGCAGGGGAAAGCGCCTGTGTATCCCCCTTTAAATGTTAAAAAAGAAGACGAAGATGCCAAATCCATCATCTCTTGATTATGGGCATCAGGGAGCTGGCTGCCCACAGAGCAGGGGGCCAGCAGGGGCAGCACTGTGGCACCTCTCCAACCCGAGTGTCTCTGGCAACCCTGGGTTGAACCTTGCTCCCTGTCACCCCCAGTCTTCTGGCATAGTTTTTGCCCCGTAACTTTCCGAACTTCCCAACTTCCCAAACACTATGAATGCTTTTTCTTTCTTTTTGGACTTGAAATATAGAGTGAGTGTGTGTGTGTGTGTGTGTGTGTGTGTGTGTGTGTGTCTTCTAGTAGCTATATTCGGAACTCAGTGTTTCTAATAACCAGATGCCAATAATCACTTGAACACTCAACTTTTCCCTTGATTACAAAAGCAGGAAGTCTGTTATGGTGGTCTGTTTTTCTTCTACACAATAAAACACATTGTCTGCTTACTGTACCAGTATTTGGCTAACATTAAACCCTGGGGGAAGCTGAAATTGGAACCGTGAACAGCTAATTTTCAAAACATTTGTTTAATGTAAATTGTGGTACCAGCTCCCAGAAACAGCGGAGAACCCTGCATCTCCAGGTTTAAGTGGAATGTTCTGAAAATAACCTTTCCAGAGACATGCAGACAAAGCCTTAGTAACATGCTAAAGCACTTGTAGTGAAAGGGAGTTGGTATTTTTCAAGTGTCAACATTTGAATTCCAAATCATAATTTTCCCCCCAATTCTATGTAATTGGAAGGTTTTGAAAGTCTCCAGTTGTGACAGCTGAGTCAGCCGTAGTGGAAACTGTTAGAGAAGGCGACAAAACCCACCAGGGGCTGGGCATCCGGGGCCCTGGCAGTGCCTTGGGGTTCCTCCTTCTACTTGGGTGGCCTCAGGCAAGTCTGTGCCTCAGTTTACCCCCCGCCATGAAATGATGGGGTCCATCCCAGCCCTACAATTTACTGACTCTAGTGAATGTTTGCATAATGTCTTTGTGTAGGTAATATGTGTGAGAGTTTGGATGGTACAAAGCGTGTGTGGTAATAAAATCTCACTCAGTCCTCCCACTTCTCCCCAGAGCAGTCTCTGGAATGAGTTTTCATGTACCCTTTCAGAAAGTCTAAGCACATAAAAAGCATAGAGATACATAAAGTCTTCCCCATCCTACTGGCCTTTAGAGAGAGAGAGAGAGACAGAGAGAGACAGAGAGAGAGAGAGAGAGAGAGAGAGAGTGTGTGCGTGTGTGTGTGTGTGTGTGTGTGTGTCGTGTTCCCCACTGTTTTTGCAGTGTGGTGTCAGTGGTTACTGGTGCCAGCTCATCTGGCTTCATATTCCAGTTCTGCCAGTTGCTGGCTGTGTGAGGTGTGAGTTGGGGGAGTTACTTCATTCCTCTGGTATCTCAATTTCCTCATCTGTAAAATGGAGGTATAACACAGGGTGGTTGGGAGGCTTAAAAGAGGATTCATGTGAAGTGCTTACAGCAGTGTCTGGCACACATGTCAGCTGCCGCTGTTACTCCCTTGGCAGTTCTTACTCATCATGGCGTGTGGAGCTGCTGTAGTCTCTCATGGTGTGGCTCCAGTTACTGATACTGTAGGCAGGAGCAATGTACCCAGTTCTTTGGATTGTTCCTCGTGTCCATCCTGACAAACAGTGCCGCAGTGACCATCACTGTGTGTGGGTCTCTGTGCATAAGTGCAAGTGTATCTGTAGGAGAAAGTCCTCAAGGTGGACTTACTGAAGCAGAGAGTGTATTTTTTAACTCTGATGGCTTGTTATCCCATTAAGAAATTTCAAGAGTGGACTTATTTACACATTTGACACTGAGTTGTTGAAAGAAGATGCATCCATTCGATCCATATTTATCACATCTACATGTGCTTGTTCCCCTTCTTGGTAGTGAGGGTACAGCACCTTGGTGCTCAGGGAGCTCTGGTCTAGTGAGGGAGGTAGAGTCACTGCACAAGGGGGGGGCAAATGGTGCTCCGACCACAATAAAGTGGAGTGATGGCATGGCAGTGTTGTCTTACATAGGTGCTCAGGGGAGGCTTCTCTGGTAAGGTAACACTCAAGGCATTTAAGTGATTGAGAGGAGAGAGCTCCTGGCACGGGGGAGCATGCCTGGCTCTTCCCGGAGAGAATGGGACAGTCCTTCATGTGGGGTCCCCAACGTTTCAGAGAAGCCTGGGGACTCTTCTCAAGATAAGGTTTTATTTATTTTTTTAATTTTACTTTTTTAAGAGGGACTTGGCTGGCCCCAAATGATTTTTTGTTTTGTTTAAATTTTATTTATCTTTTTGGCTGCGTTGGGTCTTTGTTGCTGTGCACAGGCTTTCTCTAGTTGTTGCGAGCGGGGGCTACTCTTTGTTGCGGTGTGCGGGCTTCTCATTGCGGTGGCTTCTCTTGTTGCGGAGCACGGGCTCTAGGGCACTTGGGCTTCGGTAGTTGTGGCGTGTGGGCTCTAGGGCACTTGGGCTTCAGTACTTGTGGCTCGCGGGCTCTAGAGCGCAGGCTCAGTATTTGTGGCACACGGGCTTAGTTGCTCCGCGGCATGTGGGATCTACCCGGACCAGGGCTCGAACCCGTGTCCCCTGCATTGGCAGGCGGATTCTTACCCACTGCGCCACCAGGGAAGTCCAAAATAGTTTTAAAGTTTTAAAATGCATAAAATACCGAAGATTCAAAGGAAACCATTTATGCCTAAATCTTCAAGGTTAAGACCCCTGTCAGAATGCTCACCAAGATTCATAGGATAATCTTTAAGGTATCTCCAAGAAGGCAGTTTTTGCCAAAAGTTTTGATAAATAGTCATCTCACCTAGGATTTTTCAAATGTAAACCCGCTCTACCACCCCAGTTGAACTCCACCCCCGTATGTGAATCACTCTTCCCCATCAAGAAGATACACTTGCTCCTCACTGCCTGGCAAAAAGCCCAAGATGATTTTGGGAGAGCGCCTCTTTCTTTTTGAGAAATATTTAAACTGCAAATGAGTGATTAATGTTCTGGTAAGGGATGCCAAAAAAAGGGATTGGTTCTTTTGAGAAGCTGCCATCCTTGCAAAATTTTGCTGACTTTTTAATGAAATTTCCAGAGATTCAAACAGCAGAGCAAAGGAGACTAGGCGTAGGTAATCTTGGGTTGATAATTTCACACAAGTCTTTTTGGACACAAGTCTTTTTGGACACTCAGTTCTACAGATTCTTAAATACGTCTCCCACTGACTCTGACCTTACAGGTTTTCTGCTGCTCAAAACAAAACTGGGTGTATGCACGATACATGGAGTTTTTGGATTTGTACAACAATATGAATTTCTAAAATGTCAATCTTTTTTTTTTAACATCTTTATTGGAGTAAAGTTGCTTTACAATGGTGTATTTGTTTCT